TCTGCTGGCATAGAGCCAATTTTCGCAGCTCCAATTTGATTGCCTTTTAGAAAGGCAAAGCAAGTTTCCCCGCAACTTTTGGTTTCCAGTATTCTCGAGAATCGCATGTGCAGTGCATGAACTAAAGAAAGTACCTGTTCTCGTATAAAACAAAATGGGTTTAATCTTAGTATACGGTACCATGGAGGTTAGAATCAAAGAATATGTATTGTAAAGAAGGAAAACCTCTCTGCAACAGACGTGGCTCTGTTCCATCGTAGAGGGAAAGCTGTGCATGCGTGATATATCTGCCGCCAAAGCTGGAAACCGGTGTCGAAGTTCGAAGGTCACGTTATCAAGAGTTCATTAAATGAATATCCTTTAAAATTTCTTTAACCACTTGCGCTAAAAAGACGTGCCACGCACGTCGAGATGTTTTTGTCTCAAACTCCGAGCGACGTGAACACCACGTCGATATATCGCAAAAATGAAAATAACATGGTGCACACGTCGCCTAACAACGAGATTGTTTATTTCTCGAGTTACAGCTCTGGATTGCACTCGCAGATGCGGAGCGGCGTAAATGAGACACTTTACCACTTGCTATATTGTAGCGCACGGCACCGCAACCGTGAAGTTCTTAGCGCAAGTAATTAAACTCTAAATTAAAAGAAAATATTTTTTGGCGCGAATAAATTAATTCATGGATTAGTAATTTTCAGGGGGGGGGAACTACGAAAATCGGTTTTTAAAATTATTGCGAAAAATCCAAGGAAGAAACATCCTTTGATAAAACATTTCTTCTTGGATTTTTTGCAATAATTTAAAAACGGATTTTCGTAGCTTTTCTTTTTTGTCAAAGAACGTTTCTTCTTAACACGTGTTTCTCAATTTCCGGTACACATCGCGGAGAGGGAAATTCTGGCCGCCAGGTTCCGTCGCCAAATCCCTTGGCAAAATTTTCCCTCCGCATTCTTGCGGCGTAATAGCATTTTACTTGTATGGAAAATTTTCTTCTTTACATAGACCAAAGAATTAGAGATTCTTTGCATAGACGTTTTTTGGTTAAAAAAATAATCTCCATGTATGGATTTGGCGACATGATGATGCGCAGTAAATGGGTCATTTTGGTCTTGGCGACAATTTTCAAAATCGTGCCAAAGCCTTACCGTATACTAGAATTTTACCGCAAAATCTTTTTAAACTTTTCTTTTTAATAAATACCTTGCCATTTTGCAGTAAAATAAAAAATAGTAATCTGTCATCTAGGCTAACCATGTAATATAACTATATTCGCTAAAATATCGTTGATTATTCTAATTCAATTTTTAAGTAATTATCTTTATTTTTATGTTATTCGTATAATTTAATGATGCTTCATTCCTCTAAATTTATTAATTATTAGTAAATAATATTTCTAAATTTCAGGAAATTTTCTCTGGCATAATCTTGAAATTAATTCTAGCAGTATGATGACACACCATCACGAAATTTAATGCACATATTTTTTTCTTATGTATGCTGCGAAATAAATATAAAATACCTCAATTTATTAAAATAGATTTCTTTCTTTCGTTTAGCTGCAGAATGTTTGCAAAAAAAGCCTTATTTTATTCCAGATTGGGAAGATTCTAATCTCAATCTTCAATGGAGAAAACAACAACTATTATAATTATATTTGTGTTTTCAAGTGTTAAGGTGCTTTTTAAGAACATACCTCACACAAATTAAATTTACCTAAAATCTAACCTAACTATTTAGCATTGCGTTGTGATTTATAAGGACTGGATTAGCCTCGTGTTGAACTGGTGATGATCATGAGTAATAATTAAATAAAACATACATTTGTTATCCAATGTATATATCTTAAATTTCATTAAGTTTCTTAAGTGGAAAAGTAAACAAAATTATCAAACAAGTATACCAAGAATAATTAAGAATAAATGTCCTCTGGCATTTATTGAATAATTAAGTGAATTTGCTACACAATACAAGTAATACCATAATTTACCTCTTAGCGTAGCCAACGTACATTACGCTGATAGACTGGAATTTTCTTGAAACGCACCTGGAAAACCTGGAAAAGTCAGGGAATTTCATTCTCCTGTTTGAGTGGCAACCCTGTTGAACCTTGTCCCCTTTTAGTAAAGTCAAATGGACCCACCCGCTCACCAACTGAGGACCACAGAATGGCTTTCTCCGATAAATTGTGATGGCTGTCCATACCGGTTTTTTTGAGTCAATATTGTTCGCTTAAGTTGTAGACAGATCCAGTGACCATAGAATAGGCGTCCTGGTGGCAATACATGCTTGAATTCGTCAAGGCAAGAAGTGGTAGAGGTTCCTAATGTCATGAATTCATCAGTTGTCGTTCTAGATGTGCGATATTTTGTTGTGCCCGAATCCGGCGGCCTACCATGTCCTAGACATGCTGGATTGGTGAAAGGTCTGGTGACCTTGCTAGCCAAGGAAGAGTATCAACCGCATGGAGACAGTCCAGAGATATGTGAGCAGTTTGCCCTGGCATTATCTTGTTGGAAAATGGCCCCAGGATGTAGTGAAGTAATCCAACCGGCTGCAGCATGGTATCAACATATCTTTGAGCTGTTAAAGTTTTATGGAGGATAACTAAAGATGACCTGCTGTGAGATGAAATAGTGCCTCATACCATCCACCAGGGGTTATGGCTGATTGGTACTGCCGGGCCCCATCCTCTCTAGACACAAACACTGTGGTCATCTGCTTCAAGAGTGAAGCGGGATTCATCGCTGAACACTATACGATGCCAGTCTGATGGCAGCCATGACGATCGGCTGCAACACCACTCCAGACGACTCTGTTGATGTTGTGGGATCAAAGCAAACGTCTTGAAGGCCTCTGTGAGCGTAACCCTGCCTCCGCTAAGTGCCATGAGATGGTGGACGATACCACAGGAGGTATAGATGTGGCTGGTAATGCATTGAATAGTCAACAATGATACTGTTAGGGTGGTTCGGCCCTGGCGAACAATCATCCTATCTGGCCTCGCATTTGTGTTCCTTGGCCTTCCAGAGCCTTCATTTCATCGGCAATTTCCTTGTAGCAATCATTGCTGCCAACATCTTTGAACAGCAGTGATTGTTCGCTCCAGGTGGTGGTCTATTGCTCGGTATGACCATTCAGTTTCACGCAACCCTACAATGCGACCACTTTTGAAGTCGTTTAGTTGTTGGTAAGGTATTCAGTATTACCGTAATGACATCTTTAGTTGCTTCTTTACGGAATTACAATTTCAGAAAAAAAAAAGATAAAATTTCTGCCTCTGCGACTGGTTTTATATTTTGCGAATTGCACACTATAAATGCGCGCTATAATCGCGAAACTTTGATCATTTGCATCTTCGATCAAAATGTTTTTGCTTACTAAATTACGTCACAATTGCAAAAGTCCTTCTTGGTGCTTTGATTTGTTTGCAAAAGTGTGTATATATATATATACATGTATATATTTATAACTTCGGTAAAAGAAATTGTGATTACCTTATCTGAGGAAAAGGTGTAGTGAAAAATATAGGTGCGAGATTAAGTTAAGCCTTTTTTCTGTGTAAATTTCAAACAAGTTAGGACAAATTGTGAAAGTTAAAGCTAAAAAAACATGAAAGCAGCTTTGAAAAAAGGAACACAAGAAGCATTGTAGATTTTTATATTATAATATACATTACCAAATTTCTCAGGTTATTTAGTTTTAGCCTTAAATTTTAATTACTTAATATAATTGTAAGTTAAAGGAATACTGTAATTTCCAATATTGAAATCCTCAGTTATTAAACTCATGCGGTTAATAAATTCAAGTATGTTTGGAATGGAGGTGTTTCTGATAACTGCACGGTACTTACTGGGGTGGTGGTGCAGAGGTTCAGTTATTAGATCATTCTGGAAATTGGGGCATCTAGATATAAACATATATATATATATATACACAGTCAAAAGTCTTTAATCCGGATTCGTCGGGGCGATTCCGGATTATCGGTTTCTGGATTATAGATCATCAATTTAAATCTTGTAAGATGGCATGCAGAAATTATAAAATTAAAAATATGAAACCGTAATTTATGAAATAAAGAGCAATTATGATTTAAAGGGTATCAAAATAAAAATTAAAAAAAAAAAAAAAAAAAAAAAAAAAAAAAAAAAAAAAAAAAAAAAAAACTTTATATTTATTTGTTTTTATTTTATTAAACATTTCTTTTAACGCGTGCATGCGTAAAGCGTACATTACGAATTAATTTAGTCGAAATTAAAAAATTGCAACCAGAAAACTATTTGATGTGTATTCGTGATATTTATAATGACGATGAATTTGATTTAAACCATATCAGAGATGGAGCACATCGAGATGAAATACTACATTTAGTAAGGAATTATAAGCCAGATGAAATAAAAACATCTGCCTTGAAGATAAGGATAGTGCTGACAGATCAACACAGTTCATTGTGCGCCGCAACGCCCCCTCCCTTTTTTAAAAAAAATAAATGCCTTATTTGTCATTTTCTTATAAAATAAAAAAATAGTAATCAGTCATCTAGGCTAATCATGTAATATAACTATATACTCACTAAAATATGATTGATTATTCTAATTCAATTTTTAAGTAATTATCTTTTTTTTTTTTTTTGTGTTATTCGTATCATTTAATGTTGCTTCTTCTCTCTAAAAATTTTTTAGAACATTAAAAACGATGGAATAAATGAAAGCCATGCAAAAACTAAATTCAAATTAAAGGTAAATGAATTTTACATTTCCCAGGACTTCTTCTTCAGAGGTATTCGGGGAAAGATTTTCGGAAGAAACTGGAATTAAACTAAATTGCGCATTTATCAGATCTCAGATCAAATTTTAATTTTAAACAAGCTGAAGTTTAAAAACATTAAATTTTAAATAAAGCTGTAATTCCCACCCCCTTGTTTCACTTAAAATGTTAAGTTCAAAGCACATGGAAAGCATTAACGAGTACTGCTTAGTGATTTTTGTTCTTTTTTGCAGGGAAATGCAAAGGATAAAAAAGGAAATGGAAGAAGTAATCCGTGTGTTAAAAAACGAAATGGAAGACATGGCTAGTAAAAATGCAGAACTAGAACAAAAAGTAAGTTTTTTCCCATTTCTCCAAAGAATGGGGAACATTTTTTTAAAACAAAAGTTATAGAAAAATGCATGTTGGCTGCACCGGGCTGCAGAATTTATGGGCAGTGAATTTATTAGAATTTAGAGAAATGCAATATAATAAAATTAAGGGGTTGCAAAATTTTTAGAAGGGAAGCATTGGACAGCATACTTTAAGGTTGACAAAATTTTTAGAAAAGGGGGAGGTTACGGGTAGCAAAATTTAGGACATGCAGAGACTGCATCGGGTGGCAAAATGCTTAGCGCCGACTTTGTGCATAATCCACCAAAGCATTTTCAGTGTAGGATACGAGGAAAGATTGAAAAATGTACAGTCTTGTCTATACTCAAGTTCATGCAACCAGTTATTTGCTCTTTCATCAACTTTATTCACTTCGCCACAGATCACTGTTGATGAAACTGAGTTTCCCTTTCTGGAAAGTAGTTAGCTGTGCATAGTTGAACTGCTCTAAAAGTAAACTTTCAACATCTTCATCCTATTAAAGCACCGTGAAGTTATTTAGCTTTGTTCCTGGAACATGACACAGCGGCTTTAAGAATTTTTTCGCAGTTATAATTTTCTTCAGTGCACCATCTGCTTCCTGTAATATTGAGTAGTGATTTGTTCTGCACTAATGATTATAGTTATGGGCTCCTTATCTAGTAAGTTCTTTATTAATTCCAGTAAAGGAAAATTGTTTATGAATTGTATACAGTTTATGTTATGTGCTGAACAGAAGTTGTCATCTTACAAAAGGTTGTTAATTTTTTTCCTCTCCAAAGCAATACTTAACTGAGCCTTCTGCACCAAGCTTTAATAAATGCATCTGTAAATAGATAATTTAATAGCTTAGATATGTAAATATTTTCCTCTCTAAACAGATAATTTATAAAAGCTTAGAAAATTTTATCTGATAATTAATCTCTCATTTTCATTACCTAATTGAAAAGGATAACAAGCGAATTGAAGTATTAATGCTTTTTCACACATTCTAAAAGCAAAATCTTAATTTAGTATTTTTCATATAGTGTTTATCTGCATGGTGGCCTAAGGTAGCCAATCCAGACATGAGAGAAGAGAGAAACCTAAAAGCGTCAGCATGTTTGATGTAGCAACAATCAAGTAACAGTTTGAATCCCATACAGCAAGCTGTGATCCACATTTTCCTGAATGTCAACAGGGATAAGTGCAAAAGGGAGAGCACAACCTGTAGCTGCAAAGGAAACACAGTTGAGGTAAAGTCAACCATCAGTGCACATGCACAAATATGCCATTGATGAAGGATGCCAGAATATTCATTGCTAAGAGATATAATGCACAGAGGGCAGATTTATGGAAGGTTTGCAAGAAAAATTCATTGATGTTTAGCAGTGATATGCAAGCTGATAAATTTCAGCAAACTGTATATGTTCTTGATATGAAGTATCAGTGCTCAACTGTGGAAATTTTCAAGTACAGAAGGAAGATATTCTCAAGTGGATGTCACTAGATATGTTTTGTAGCAGGCAGGTGTATCAAGAATAACATGCCTGCACATTCTGAAGAACATGAATCTGAAACCTCAGACTTCGTAACAGATGCGGTGTGATTTCATCTTTGTGACCATGTTAATTTGCTAAATGCATGATAATAGTCTAAAAAAGCATTGATACTCAGCTGTGAAAAGAAGCAGATGCAGAGGGAAAATGTTAACCAGAGGGTATTCTAGATCCCTTTAAGTTCATGAGGTATATGTACGCAGCAGGAGGGTGCAACATGCGAGCACATCCTAAAGAACTTGAACCTGAAACCGTACAAGGTGCTATTTTTATAACAGTTAAATGCTGCAGACCATGTTAAATATATGCAGTACTTAAAATCATGGTTGTTGCAGGATTGTCACAGCTTATAGTTTTTATGATGAGTAAGCAATTTTGCTAAAATAGAAGTTTGAATGTAATTTGGTGACAGTTTTAATGCTGCTATGTCTATTTTCTGGAGGTAAACTTATTACTGAATTAAACTTAACAATAATTTCAGTTTTATAATTTCATTTCAGTAGCTCGTTCTGAATGTAAAATAGCATAAAGAGAAGAATGCCAAAATTTTAAAAAGGTATATGTAATAGAAAGTCTGAGATCTCGGCTGATAGGGACTTCGGCAATTCCAGATTTAGGACCTTTGTGGTTAATTACCAGGTCAGGATGACATGTATAAATTACAAAATTACGAATCTGAAACTGTGGCTTATGAATCAAAGATGAAGAATGAATGAGCATTTATGACCATGCTAATTTAAATGTTATGACTATGTTAAAGGAATCAAAATTAAGAGTATATTTGCTTTGTTAAACATTTGTAGGTTTTTAAGTTACTTTTCTTTTGGGACTAATACTTTCACTTTAATTCTATAAAGAGGCATTTATTCAGTTTCAAAGTTCCGTTATTCAGCTCCTATAATTGCCATGTCGAGAATTTCCATCTGAAATTTTTTCATTATCAACAGTCTGTCACTTTCCTCACTGTTGGTAGCAATATTTCCTTGCTTTTAGAGCTATACTCTAGATATTACCATTTATCAGTTGATTGATGATTAAGGCATTGTTATTGCAATTCAAAATCTTCTTGCTATATCATCTTCATTAATTACCATTTCTCCTTCAATTACATTAACCCCTTAACTGCTGTGGAAAAAGTACAAGATTCACTCCCCAGTGCCACCATTTTTTATACAAGCGCGCATAGTTATGCAATGTATTAGGAGAGAAATAGGAAGTTTTGCTGTCTAAAACCTGTTTACTTTCACAAAATAAAGAATAAAAGAAAAAGTGAAAATACAAAACTGAATGTATATGTATAATAATAAAAAAAGATCCCCCAAAATGGAGTTTCGATTAATTTATTTGTAAACTCTTTGATATACCTTGTAAAATCAGTATACTCAAATGGAAAGTGTGGAGGCAGCATAGGCAAGTTAGTCATACCTAATGTCGAGCATCTTTCAGAGAATAGTCTCAGTCTTCTACATCTGACATAATATCATATTCTGAGGTGTCCAATCCTGAAGATACAGAAAGTAATCATCTATTTCACTGTCATACATCCTTCTCTGAAATAGTATTCTCCTTTGTATACTCCGTCAAGGTCATTGTGGTGTAGCATTCCAAAGCTTTGGGAATATTTTTACTTGGCGCAAAGCAAATGATAGCATTTGGAGGGGCTTATATATAGTGTCAGGGCAGTTAATGCATCAGCAGAACAGGCCGTATATATACGCCTGTGGCTATCTTTTCATCATTGAAGAAATGATTCCTTCTGCAATAAACCTTCCATTTCAGAAGGAACAAACATCACATTCTTCCATTCTCGCCTCCTGTCAATTCTTCATATTGCATTTTTTTTTTCCGGCTATGTACGGTGTAGATTAGTTTCCAATTCTGCAAGATCATTCCACAGTCTTTCTGTTAGTGAAACATAGGGTTATATACATCTTCTATAAAAGTTCTTAATTCTAACAACAGCTTTATCATCTTCCTTGCCACGCTGCTTGATCAGTAATTTCTCCTTTTCCTGCTCGCTTCCTAAGAATGGCATCAATTTTGGGAGTTCTTGCTGCTATTGCTGCTTACCTAAATTTACCAGTGACTACCAGCGAGATTTATAACTAAATGAATCAGTTTAATCACCAATGCCAAATATCACATCCATCCTCCTCCCTTATATTTATTTATTAATATGTCGATAAAATAGAAAATAACTGTTTATTAATGAATATAATACTCCATTAATAAAAATAATAACTCAGCTTGTCATTATTTTTTTTTCCAATTCATTTTAATTTAATTTCAAATTCAAACTGTCCCAACAAAAACTGCAGGCGGAGTCAACCTGTTTATAGCGACTCTAGCTCCGACTCCTGCATTTTAGCCTATGCTGCTTCACATAAAATCTACTTGCTATTTATATTTACTTAACCTCTAATCTGACAGGGTTCGTACGGTCCTTAAAAGTCCTGAATTTTTTTCAAAAATGATTTTTGGTCCTTAAAAGTCCTTAATTTTGGCCAAAATGAATAAACGATCCTTAATTTTGCTCATTTGACATTTCTTATCATTTCTAATGATTGCCATTCTATGTGTGAATTGCGATTTCTCATGAATATGGAATTAAAATTGCACAGCTCTTAAAAAATCTGTTGGCGGATTCGCGTTGCAAACGGGGGGGGGGGGACAATGGTTGATCTTTACATTATGGTAACTTGGCGTTTTTTTTGGCGAAAATTTGCCGACCAACTCTCCTACAGCAACCCTCTATTTTTTTTTACCCCGCCGCCATTTTGTCATCACGAAGTAAAGACATGTTTCTTTTCTCTTTATCTACTGAACACTACTTCCAACGATCTACTAGCCGAATTACACTTATGCTAGAAATTTTATCTAACAAAACTGCTTAATCATGACAAATATTCACTGCAAAATTGGGAAAAAGTGCACAATACCATACTCCTTACGCGTTTTTCAAAATAACACATAGACATAAACCATGTACACGCCGACTTATTTTTACTTAAAAAAACATCCCAGAATTACACAAAAATGGCATTGCGCAGACTCTTCACTATATCCATGTACACTGCTTTTTTCTCATAAATTAGAAAAATTTCACGAAAATACATGACAATTTTCTGAATCTTTAAACCCGGTAAAAAGAACGTATATGAAATTACCTGATCGCGAAAAATTACATACCCTTTCCAAATATGAACATTTCCCCGTATAAAATAAATAAAATATCCAAAAACTTTTACCTCTACATTATCTATTATATTACAAACGTCACTAACTAATTCATACCTTTACTTCATTACAAATGGTTACAAATACTTAGTGTCAAATATTTAAATTATTTAGTGTCAAATATTTAAATTATTTCCATGCACGTTTACGCAAATTACTTTACTTCCATCTTACATTTAGAACAATGCATAAAAATAATATCCTCAA